TCCACTTGATGATGTCTAGTTCTCAAATTATTTTTCTGTATACCACTCTATTTTGAGTGTTAAAAACAGTAAGTTATTTACTTTCATTTTGTACTCAATCATATTTATTCAGTAATAAATGGACATCTTAAGCAAACTAAGAAAGTCATGTACCTTCAAATGCATATGTGATTTGTTTTCTTTTTTTTCCTTTTATTGAAAACAGATTTTTTTCTCACATAACATATCCTGATTATGGTTTCTCCTCCCTCTACTCCTCTCAATTACTCCCTACTTCCTTGCCCATCTGGATCCACTCCCTTCTTTCTCTCATTAGAAAACAGGCTTCTTGCAGACCCAACAAGCAAAATTAGTTGGAGCTCAGGAAATCCTGCAGAAGAGGGGGATAAAGGATTATGGGAGCCAGAGGGGTCAAGGACACCACAAGGAAACCCACAGAATCAACCAACCTGGGTTCATAGGGGTTCACAGTGACTGAACTGACAACCAGGGAGCCTGCATGAGACTGACCTAGGCCCTCTGCATATATGTTACAATTGTGTGGCTTGGTCCTCTTGTGGGACTCCTAACAGTGGGAACAAGTGTGGTGGTATTGTGTTCCCCAAAATATTGTGTACCCTAATAAATTTATCTGGGATCAGAGAACAGACAGCCACTAGATACAAAAACTAGAAAATGGTGGCACTCACCTTTAATCCTAACACTCCAGAGGTAGAAATCCCTCTGGATCTCTGTGAGTTCAAGGCCACATTGGAAACAGCCAGGCATGGTGACACACACCTTTAATCCCAGGAGCGAGACTTTAATCCCAGGGAGTGGTGATAGAAGGCAGAAAGGTATATAAGGAGTGAGGACCAGAAAATAGAAGCATTTGCCTGGTTAAGCTTTTAGCTGGATAAGCTTCAGGCTTTCGAGCAGCAATTCAGCTGAGAGCCATTGGGATGAGGACACAGAAGCTTCCAGTCTGAGGAAACAGGACCAGCTGAGAAGTTGGCCAGGTGATGTTAGCTGTGGCTTGTTCTGTTTCTCTCATCTACCAGCATTGACCCCAATAACTGGCCTCGGGTTTGATTTTATTAATAAGAACTTTTAAGATTCATGCTACAAACAGGGGCTGCCTCCAACTCTTATCCTGGCTTTTGGGACCCTATTCCTCATACTGGATCGACTTGCCCAGCCTTAATACATGGGGACATGCTTAGTCTTACTCAACTTGATATGTCATATTTTGTTGATACCCATGGGAGACCTGACCTTTCCTGAACCAAAACAGAGGAATGGATGTGGGGGGGACAGAGTGGGGTGGTAGGGAGGGACTGGGAGGAAAGGAAGAACGGAGAAACTGTGGCTGGGATATAAAATAAGTAAATAAATAATTTTAAAAAACAGGCTTCTAAGGCTAATAATAAGATAAGATGAAATAAAACAAAGACAAAACAAACAGAAGGAAAGAGTCTCAGGAAAAGGCATAAGAAACAGATATAGATGCAGAGACCCACTTGTTCACACACTCAGGAATCCCATTTTAAAAAACACTAAGCTGGAAGCCATAATATATAAGCAAAAGACCTGTAGGTTAAAAAGAGAGAAAAATGTTTTAAATATATAAAAGTAAACAAAATAAAACATACGATAATTAAATAGGTGGGAATCCCTGACACTATATTATGAGACAAGAAACCTCCAAAGATGCCATTGATTTCATTTTCTGTTGCCATCTACTGCTGGGCATGCAGCCTACCCTTAAGAGTAGTTTGTTTCCCCAGTGAGACTCCTTTGTAGAAAACTAAATTTTCATTTGCAAGTGGTTATCAATTGAAGATTGCTCCTGGGTTAGCAATGGAGCCATGTGCAGGCCCAGTCTCAGCCTCTGTGAGTTCATATGTGCATCGGTCTTGTTGATTTAGAGACCTTGTTTTCTTCTTTGTGTCCTCCATCGCCTCTGGCTTGTACACTCTTTCTGCCTCCTCTCTCACAGGGTTCCATGAGAGAAGAGATTTGATGAAGACTTCCTTTTTTCCCTCAAAATCTATTTTTTATTTAATATTTTTATTTTATAATTAACTTAATTTCACATATCAGCCACGGATTTCCCTGTCCTCCCTCCTCCCACCCCCAGCCCTCCCCCCATAGTACACCCCTCATCCCCACCTCCAGGGAAGGCCTCCCTTTTAGGGCTCAGTGTTCCAAGGTCTCTAACTCTATATGATGTCTGACTATGGATCTCTGTATTTGTTCCCATCTGGGGCAGGAAAAAAGCTTGAGATATATGTTTTCAAACAACTTTCTCATCACACGTATTAATTAGGCAATATGCATTGATATATTGATATAATATGTATTATATCAATGCATAACTCAAGATGTTTTTCTGAAGTGTTTGAGAGCAATGCAATTCAAACTGTTAAAAAAACACAGGGACTCATAAATCTGAACATTTAAAAGATATCCTGCCTCAGACACAGATTGACCCAAGAGCATGCTTTGTTCCTCTCAACTCTCTTCAGGGCAGTTGGCTCACTTTTTGACAGATTCTCTCCACATACAAGGGAAGAACACTTCCCATGTGCTCCCAATTTAGACACAAACAGGAAAAATAAAACTTTATGTTCCACCCAGCATCCAAAAATCAATGAAGACAAGGCATCTGCTTGGCACTGTTTATAACTGGTGCCTACCTCTGAACCAACAACTGTTGGCAGTAGATAAATTCTATAAAATGCCCAGATTAGAGCATGTGTGTGTGTGAGTGTGTGTGTGTGTGTGTGTGTGTGTGTGTGTGTGTGTGTGTGTGTGTGTGTGTGTGTGATTAACACTAGAGCAGGATTGGAAGTATCGTGATGAATACCTCCACCAAGATCGCACAAAATAAGAGAAGATACTCTCTCAAAGGACAGAAAATTTTGACAAAACAAAATATCAAATTCCAGCCTCATAAATATCACCTCACTCCTTAAAAACTCTTCAAGGTATTCTCATCTATTTAAAACTAAGCTAAAGAAATTTCTCAAAGTCACACTAGCTGTGTGACCAAATGGGAATGTAAAGACAGTTGTAACAGTTCGCCAGTGTTTTTGTTTGTTCTACTACATCTTGTGCTTTTTTTTTAATGCCATAGACCCCTGAGTAATACCCAGTGCCCTATGCTTCCATCTGTAACACCAACTGAAACATGATTGCAGAGAAGCAGTTCGCAAACTCATTCACATTCATCTGTCTGACACTGACTGATTGAGAATTGGGCATTCCTCTAACGGAAAATTATAATTTAGCATGCACCAAATTTAGGTGGCAAAATGAATTGATAGTTAAGCAACAGATTTAAGAGTGAGGCAGGCATTAGTTATAGCCTTGCCTCTGATACTTACTAAGTGCATGATCTTGGGAAAGTTAACTAACACTCTGAGCTTCAGGCTACTCATCTGTAAAAGATAGATAATAGCACATATGAAACCAGAGATGTTATAATGATTAATGGAATTAGTTCTGTTAATTACCTACCCTACACCCATGTCAAATAGTTGGTGTTAAGTTAATATTCATTTGTCCCTATCCTACAAGAATAATTTAAGTCTTTTTAATCCATAGGTGAAGGCAGTTTGAGGAAAGCCAGAAGCCCTTTTGTTCTTCTGAAATCAAGGCACAAAAATACCTTTTATCATCACTGAGACAAAATACCTGGGTTTATTTGGGTTCCCAGTTTCTGAGGATCATCGTCTATTGTGGCAGAGAAGGCCAAGCAGAGCAGCTCATTCAATGGTGATGGGAACATGTGCTGACACAATGGTGGATCAGGAGCAGAGATGGCAGACTGGAAGCAGAGTTAAACCTTCAAGCGCCCACTCCTAGAGGCCTATGTCTGCAAGCCAGGATGATCCCCCAAAGGTTCCACAGCCTTCATATCTGCATTACAAGCTGGGGACTAAACATTAAAAATGTAAATCCATCAGGGACATCTCAAATTTAAAACATAAGACCTCATATGTACACAGCCTTGGCACATTAACTGCTCACATATAATAGCTCTTTTGATCACACACTCTGTGTGTGTGTGTGTGTGTGTGTGTGTGTGTGTGTGTGTGTGTGTGTGTGTCCCTAAAGGAAACTGATCCTCCTCTCAGTATCCATTGTGCACCCATACTTCATCTAGGAGTGGGATATTGTGAAATTTCCCCTGTCCATGTTGACATATCAATTGATAGCAGTATGCCTATCTTGTTCAGGCAACCATACTGTTGAAAAATCATGAGTGAACTTTCCCTTTTCCCTGGCGTTCTAGAGAACACTGTCTCACAGCAGATGTCCTGGTCCTCTGGCTCATGTCATCTTTCCATCCCCTTTTATGTAATTTTCCCTGAGTCTTAGGTGTAGAGGTGGCATGTATCAGTTGGCAGCTAGCATAGTACCCTCTGGTAATATGAGGGCCAGTCATCAGTAAAGACGCACCCAGGCCTGTTCCAACTTGATTCTGTGAAGCCCTGTGGTATATCCAGCAATATGGCCCTTACCTTCAAGTTCTGGAAGACAATGAAGAGCAATGATAATAGTTCGTATTGTTTTGGGAGACCGTTGTAAACTCCCAACCAACAAGTTAAGGGGAGGTTTCCCATGCCTGGCACTGAGGTTAGATAGTGCATGGCTCTTGGGGTAAACACCATCATCTCATGTGGCATAACTCAATTAAATTATATGCATATGCATACATATATGGACATATATATATATATATATATATATGTGTGTGTGTGTGTGTGTGTGTGTGTGTGTGTGTGTGTGTGTGTATTTTAAGTAAGTTTATAATATGTTTCCCTATGGCTTTTTCAAGCATCTTTGGTGTTATCACTCCTTCCTTCCTCTCTTCCTATATTAACCTTTACCCACTTCTGAAGTGAAAGTCTCCCTATTTTCCCATTAACTTCTTCATTGCACCAGCCTCCTACTCTCCCCCATTCTAGAGTTCCCTTTTCACCCCTCTCTATGACCCCTTTCTACTTCCCTGGCTTATTCAATTACCTCTTGTATATGCAAATCTAAAGATTCAGAGCTTGGAACTACAAATAAGAGAGAACATGCAGCATTTGTCTTTCTGGATCTGGGGTACCTCACTCAGTATATTTTCCACTTGTATCTATTTACCTGCAAATTTCATGATTTCATTTTTAGCAAGTCATGTTTCAAATGTTTCAATATTTGTTTTTATTTTATGTGCATGTCTCTGTGTGCATGTCATATGCATGTGAGTATCCATATAAACCAGAGGGTGTCAGAGACCCTGGAGTTAGAGTTTACAGGCAATTGTGGAGCATCCACTGTCAGTGTCAGGAGCAGAACTCAGGTCCTTCAGAAGAGCAGCAAGTTCTCTTAACCACTGAGCCATCTCTCTAGACCTTTTAACAACTCTAAGAGAGTCAAGGCAGAAACACATAAGCCCAATTTCGCTGATTTGAAAACACAGGTTCCAGGAAAGTTGGATCACTTTTTCATATCTCAAGTAATATTTAGCAGCACTGGAGCCAAATGGTTTTTTGTCTTCTAATCCAGGCATGTCTTCTGATAGACAAGATCATATTTCTTGTCACTCACTGGGAGAAAGGAAGTTTCCATACAAGATCACATTTCTTGGCAGTCGTAGAGAAAAAGACAGTGACCGCATTTCCGCAAACATGAATATTTTTCTTCTTCTTTCCTCCCCACTAAATTGTTCACTCATGGGTAGAACCTAGAGAGGAAGAACAGATAAGAGATCTGTTTTCAGAGAAAAAGAATAAATGGGAAATATAGAACTATACTATATATTTATAATGCATAAAGATATTAGGATATATAATATATGTGGTGGTTCGAATAAGAATTGCCCCCATAGGCTCATATGTCTGAATGCTTAGTCACCAGGGAGTGGAACTATTTGAAAATATTAGGAGGTATGGCCTTGTTAGAGGAGGTATGTCACTGGGGGTGGGCATTGAGGTTTCACAGAACTGCCCCCCGCCTGTCCTTTTGCCTATGGATCAAGATGCAGAATTCTCAGCTCCTTCTCCAACACCATATCTATCTGTGTGCCACCATGCTCCCCACCATGAGGATAATGAACTAAACCTCTGAACCTATAAGAAAGCCCCCAACTAAATGCTTTCTTTTATAAGGATTACCTTGGCCATGGTGTCTCTTCACAGCAATAGAACAGTGACTAAGATGGTGTAATAGTATACATGTGCTTATATAGAATACATAGTATAGGTGTCCTATAAGGAATTGGTTAAACCAGTTATGGAGGGTGACAAGTCTCAAGTCCTGTAAGGGATTCAGAAGAGCTGGTGTCATCTTCCATCAAAAGGCAATAAGGGTGAAAATCGAAAAATCAAGTAAGTCCACATTCTAGCATGAAGTAGGGAGGGTTTCATGGCTTAGGATAGTTGATGGCTTCTAAGGGAGGGACAGAGTCACTTTTCTCTAAGGGTGTGGCTCCTAGCAAATCAACCACACTCCAGTGGATGGCCTTAAACTCATGAGTATATGAGCAACACAAATTTAAGTTCATGGATTATTATATAGAAAAAATAAAATGAAGTTGGGTATTGGTAAGGTAGAGATGGATCTGGGAGGAGTCACTGGGAGAAGCTGAGGTGAATGGGATCAAAATACATTGTATGAAATTACAAAAAAAGTAATTAAAATATTTTTGAAAAATCAAAAAGGGAAACCAATAAGAGCCAATATTTCAGCTTGCGTCCAAAGGTGGGGTGGGGGATCCAATGTCCTAGCACAAAGGATAGACTCCTTCTTGCTTGGTGAGGGTCATTATTTTCTATTCGGCCCTTCAGGTGATTATTAAGGAAAACAACACGTTTTTCTCTGGACCAAGCAAATGTTAATTTCATCCAAAATATCTTCACAGACACACTCAGAAGACTATTTGACTAGACCTGTGGGCAGCCCATGGCCCAAACAACTGAAACATAAAATTAAACATCACAACTAGTAAAAAAATCTTCTTTGATCTTGGCATATCCAAGATCTGACAAATCCTTTATTTCATGGGGCATGTTCAATGGTTCCTTATAAATAGCCCCAGTGAGGCCTTTCAACTTCTTTTACATAATATATTTTCTCTAGTTGATACTAATGCATTCAAGGCTTAGGTGCAAGGCATTGGACTATTGGACGCCACAAAGACTCTCAGAAGACCAAGTACGTTCAAATATGCTTGGGAATTTTTTAAATTTATTATTTGAGAATTTCATATGATGTATTTTTTAATTTTTCAGAGCAACATATACATGAGTCTCAAATTTGGTCACAGAAAGTTTTTATTCTTGTAAGTGAGAATAGAGCTTTGTCGGAATATAGCTCTTTTCTCTCTGATCTCAATGTAGCAACAGTGTCTTTTGCTAGAATGTGTGCCCATCCCACAAACTCAAGGCTTACAGGTCAAGCTTGCCATAGGGTTTTATTAAAGCAGCTATTTTGCTTGACTTAAGGTGGAAGACAACACTTTCTCCACTGTAGTGGTGGGAGTGAGGACCACAAACTCTTCCTCCTAAGAAACTGTCAGGCTCCTTCAATCTCAATACATTAGCATCCTCGAGGCGAGCATTTAGATAAGGACCACAAAAGCAGTTCTTACCATCATCTTTGGTTTAAATGGCAAATTTTAATTGTTTCAAATGCAGGATTTTTTGTTCTGTTTTGTTGGTTGTTATTTGAGTTTATTAATGAATAAACTGATAATGTAAAAACAATGAAAGCTACTATCACGTTGCCAATTTCAGCCTAGAGATATTTGCCGTAAGTGTGTCATAGGTTCCATTAAAAACATCTTTTACATACACACACACACACACACACACACACACACACACACACACACACACCTTACTTCAAATGAAAAGGGAGCTCCCCTTTAATTGTTGTATATGTGTTAGCTTTCTGTCACTGTGGTAAAATAAACAACTTACAGAAAAAAGAAACTTACTTGGGTTCATGACTTAGAGGTTTCATCCACAGTTGGCTGGTTCTGTTGATTTTGGTCCTGTGTTGAGGGAGAACATCATGGAGGGACTTGGGATGAGGCAAAGTTGTCTACCTCATGGTGGGCTAGAAGCAAAAGACAGAAAGAGAGACAACATGAAAAAAGATGGAGCTCAGATCTCAGCATCCCTTTCAAAGACATACCTCTAACTTCCTCCCAACTGCCTTCACCTATGAAAACTTCTAGAACTTTGCAATGCTACTACAGTTTGGCAACCAAGCCTATAACACATGAGCCTTTGGGGAATGTTTCAGAGTCAAACTACAGCATCGATATATATTTTCACTGTTATTTTAAGTGATATGCTCCCCAAAGTTATAGTTACTCAGTCTTAGATGTTACCCCATATGGAATTCATTCCTTCCACAAATCACTGCTTCTACTGCTTCCCAGCAGCATGGAGTGCCCTCAGTGGCTTGGGAGTCTCTGCTTCATTGTCTCACCCATCAGAAGGTTCACCTGAGGGCTGAGAATGTATCCAATTTATCATTCTTTCCTCAGCTCCCAGCACAGTCTGACATACAGGGTGAGCAACTCAGGCAACGGTTGGTAAATGAAGTGATCATTACAAGAGAAAGCTGTGTGTTTTATTGATTCAGTGACAAGTAGGGGATGGCACCATGCCCTCCAGGAACTTGATGTCTACTTGAGCATATTGTATAGCCCCCATTATATGATACTGGAGAACAGGGCTGTGCTTTAGTCATCTCTATATTCCATCATTTAGCATAATTCTTAGCACACTCAGTGATTCTCAGACTTGCTTCTATGATGGGTAGAGGATAATAGGTAAATATCTCTAAAGGAATATCACACAATTAGTAGTCAAGATAAACTTCAATTGGAATTTTTCTTGAAATAATGGTGGTATGAACACGATTTTTTCCTCTTCCAAATATATAGAAATGTAATATTCAGTATGAGAGTTTTGAATATAATATTTTTATTCTTTGAGAACTTCATGCAACGCATTTGATCATATTTACCCTGCACTCCTCTCCTAACTCCTCCCAGATCCATTCCCCACCTTCCCAATCTCGCCCAACTTTATGTCGTTCTTTTCTTTCTCTAAAAACCCATTGACTCCAATTTGTGCTGCCCATATTATCATGGCTATGGGGCCATCCAGTGTAGTGTGGTGGACTTACCAGAAGCAACACCCTTAAAGAAAACTGGCTCTCCTTCCCCTAGAAGCCATCATCTGTCTGTAGTTCCTCAGTGAGGGGTAGAGGAGCATGCGTCCCTTCCCCTCCATATTATAACACTGACTAGCTTGATCTTGTGCTTTGTTCATAGTAGCCAGAACCTAGATGTCCCTCAACTGAAGAATAAAGAAAATGTGGTAGCTTTACATAATGGATTATTACTCAGCTGTCAAAAACAACACAAATTGGAGTCAATGGGTTTTTAGAGAAAGAAAAGAACAACATAAAGTTGGGAGAGATTGGGTGATCCTAGCTAAGACTCCTAGCAATAGGGGATACATAACCTGAACTGCCCATCTCCTATAACCAGACAAGACTTCGAGTGGAGGGATTGGGACACCGAATCAGCCACATAAACTTCAACCCCCAATCTGTGCTGGGGGTAAAGGTGGTACAGAAATTGTGGGAGTGGCCAACTAATGACTGGTCCAGCTTGAGCCCTATGATATGAGAGGGAGCCCATCCATGACACTGCCTGGAGCACCAGGACCCAGAGGCTGGATAGTCCAGAGACCTGGCCTAGAACCAAACATAACTGGCAAAAAAAGGGCAATGTAATGATGCCAAATGATATTCTGCTATACCAATAGATTGGTGCTTAGCTCAATTGTCATCAGATGACAGAGGTGTCATCCAGCAACTGGTGGAAACAGATGCAGAGACCCACAGCCAAACATTAGGCAGAGACTGAAGAATTCTGCAGAGGAGGGGGAGAAGAGATTGTAGGAGCCAGAAGGTTCAAGGACACCACAAGAAAATCAACTAACCTGGGCTCATAGGGGCCTGCAGAGACTGAACCCACAGCCAAGGAGCCTGCATGGGACTGACTTAGGCCCTCTGCATATATGCTACAGTATATAGCTTGGTCTTCCTGTGAGACTCCTAACAGTCAGAGCAAGGACTGTCTCTGACTCTTTTACTGGTTTGGGGGACCCTATTTCTCATACTGGGTTGCTTTGTCCAGCCTTAATATGAGGGTAGGTCCCTAGTCTTACTGCAACTTGATATTCTATATTTGGTTGATATCCATGGGAGGCCCGCCCTTTTCTGAATAGAACTGGAGGAAGAGTGAATGAGGGGGCCAGCCATGGGATATGGGGGGAAGGACTGGGGGAAAGGAAGGAGAACAAACTGTGGTCTGGATATTAAAATGATGATGATGATGATGATAATGATAAATCATTTTTAAAAAAGGGAAACGTGCACCCAAAAAAACCCTCTTTCCCTTATAACTGACCCAGTCTGTAGTATTTTTGGCATCACACAACAGACTAGGATAAATGACTTAACAGATCACTCTGTCCCAGATGTAAAACTTTGATTGACAAATTAGGCTTGTCAATAGGAAAATGTAACCTTCCTTGGGTGGTGGAGATGGGAAAGATATAGGAAGGGTTAATCTTAGTCAGACTTGGAGAGCTTCTGTGGCTCAGTCACAAGCCCTACCGAGGAGTGTCTGTTCTAACACTGGGTCTGACTATGTCACTGAGGTATATTTTGGGCCCATAGTAAGCGGACTTGGTAGATAATAAAGAGTAGAAATCCTGGATTTTCCTCATCATTTCATTCAACTGTATGTTCATGTTATGCTCTTTAAATCCATTTAACTATTAGTTTGTGTCTTTTTTAAACTCCTTGAATTCTTCGAGTTTATAATTGTTCTTTTGAATTCTATGTCCTGTGATTTAACTTAGTAATTTTCATTAGAGAACATTTCTATAGGTTTGGGGAGAGATGTACTGTCTTGACCTTTTATATTGCTTTTTCAATGATACTGGCCATATGGGCATCTTTCATTGGTTGTGTAGATCTGATATAAGATTTTAGGCTGCCTCAGGCTAGGCCAGCATACAGGCTATGTGGCAAGGCCTAGAGACTGAGGATAGCACCATTAGGAGAGGTTCTAAGGATTCATGGGGGTGAATCTTTGTGCAGATGTGAAGCTCAGGAAAGGCCTGGAAATTAGATATGGTACAGGTGGACTAGAGGGTGAAGGGTCATCAGAGTGGACCTATGAACAGGGTATGCTACCAGAGATAAACATGGCGACTGAAGAGGATGAAGGCAGGTGCTGCTGATGGGTCTGTAGGTAAGTAGGGATCCTCATTAACTGTTGGTGAGTTGGAAAACTGATATAGTCATTCTGGAAATCAGTTTGGAGAATTCTCAAAATATTAAAAATAAATCTGCCATATAACCCAGCTATATCACCCCTTGGTATATACCCAAAGGAGCTGACATCCTAACTCCATAGGTACTTGCTCAACCATGTTCACTGCTGTTCTATTTACAACCTAATTGTCCTTCAACTAATGAATAGATAATGAAAATGTGATACATATACATAATTAATACTACTCAACTGTAAGTAAAAATGAAATCCTGAATTTTGCTACTAAATGGATGGAACTAAAAAGATCATGTTGGGTGAGGTAACCTAACCCAGATTCAGAAAGACAAATGTCACATGCTATCTCTCTCATTTGTGGTTCTTAGCTCTGAATCTATAAATGTGAGTATATAATATGGAGTAACCACAGAAACAAGGAAAATAAAAAGGTACCAAGGAGGTGCAGAAGGAGCTCTAGGGTGAGAAATGATGAGTGTTATGAAGGAAGAAATTGGATAACGGGGCCGAGGCTTTAACTGGGAAAAAAGACAGAGGGTAATACAGAAGGAAAGGGAGGGAGGAGGGATAAATAACACTAGGGATGCTTGAAAAAGATGTAAGGAGTCATTATTTTATATTTACCTAAAACTGCATAATATACACATGTATATGAGTACACGCACACTATATACATATATATGAAGTTATAGATAGATAGATAGATAGATAGATAGATAGATAGATAGATAGATAGATAGATAGATAGATAGATGATAGATAGATATAGATATAGATATAGATAGATATATGAAGTTATGTCACTTGGAGTAACAATGCTCCCTACCCCCCACAAACCATGGACTATCTGACAAAAATCCTGCTACTGTTCATGAGAAACCTCTCAAGTTGTTGATCAAGGGAGTTCATGATATCCCAAAAACAATATAGGCTATTACTGTTACCCTTGGTTGTCTCCCAGAATTTGAAGGTAAGGCTCTGCTGCTGAAGACATGAATTTGGAGGAATCAAGCTGGAACTAATCTGGAAGCCTCATTCTTAAGGAATATCAGAAGGTACTGTGCAAGCTTCTAAAAGATAGGAGTATTCTGTATCCCTGCTCAACTACACAACTGTGAAGCCTATGAACTACAACAATAATTGGATTGGAAACATTTCCACAATGGTGCAACAATAATTGGATTGGAAACATTCCCACAATGGTGCAATAGTGGCACTTTTATCTTAGGGGTAACCAATAGCTAATTGGAGGAAAGACCACTCAACAGGAGGAAAATCATGTCTGATACTGACTGGCAATGAAGCCACCTACCCATGGCTGGAGAGGTCATAGACATTAAAGGAGAACCTAGTACCACCATTTTCCTAAACAAGCATAATTTTCTAACTGCACTTTACATATTTATCCTTATGCCTACAGGTAAGTGTAGCTCTAACTTCTCATCAAATAAATTTCTCTTTGCAATAGGAGACAATTGTAGAAAATCACAACCAGTCAAAACACAGAGAACAAGTTATCACGAAGTGTCCACTCCCAGTTGATACATACTCCTGCACCTAAGGTTCAAGGAACAATGTGGAAGTGTGTGGTGATATTTTGTTTGTGCCCTCACAAATAAAACTTGCCTTAGATCTCAATACTTGGAAAGCACACACCTTTAATCCCAGCACTTGCAGAGAGGAAACAGGAAGTGATATGACTGGGTGGAGAGAGGAAGTGATATGATAAGGCAGGGTGGGAAGAGGAGCTTGGCCCCTTTCAGTCTGAGGATTCCTAGAGGTAAGAAGTCTTTCTGTGGCTGCTGCTCTGCTTCTCTGATCTTTCAGCTTTCACCCTGATAGCTGACTCTGGGTTTTTATTATTAAGACCAATTAGAACTCATGCTACAGAAGTGGGGCAGAAAGATTGTACGAGTCACAGGCCCAAAATGTCTACTGTGAAATTGTGTATCCTAGAAATGACGAGGAAAGTTCTCCGACATCTCAAAAATATGGCTGCCTGAAGAATGCCTGAACAATTCCAACAATAGCCGACAACTTAGCACAGATGGGGAAACTTTCACTGGGTCCCACCTCTAGGTGAAGAGCTACAAGTAATTAACAAATGCTGAGAGTCAAGGATTAGACTTCCTTAGGGATAAGCCCTAATTGGTTATCCAAAATGAAACGTCATCCCTAGAAACACACACATGCAGGCAACAGCGAACAACTGACTCAGCAGGTTGTACGTATGTATTTATACATTTTTACATGTATGTAACAACAATGGTTTGTAAAAAGGGAGGCTGTGAATTTGGGAGAGAGTAGGGGACATGTGGGAGGGGTAGGAGGGAGGAAATAGAGGGAAGAAATGATATAATTATATTTTAATTGAATAGAAGAGTAGAAAGAAAGAGCCACATGATGACATCATTTAAAGTGAGTGTTGTACAGAAAAGTTAAACCAAGACACCACTGAGATTAATTGATAGATTTTTTTTTTAAAAAAAAAAAGACGTTTCCAGGAAGGCAGCACTAATTATTCTAAGGCCCATTTTGTGCTACTTATTTTATAGCCTAGGCTGGACCCTGAGGACAGTCATTTCTGAGTTCCCAACCTAGGTTATAGTGGGAATATTAACCCCATCTCTCATTATCACAAGGTGAGTAAATAGCTGGGACCAATGGAACAGCTAAAATAGTTTGAGGACATAAAATAGAGATTTTCTCAATGTTATGTGCATATGAATCATGTGTATTTCTTTTTAAGTGTTTATTCATCCATTCATGGAGAAGAGTGGGGACTCACCTGCCATGTACACATGTAAAACTCGCAGGACAACTTCAGGAAGTCAATTCTCTCTGGTCACCATGTACGTCCTGGAGATCAAACTCAGGTTATCAGGGTTAACAGCAAGTGCTTCTACATGCTGACCAATTTTGCTAGCACCAGATCTCTTTTTTAAATACACATTCTGAGATCAATCATGTTAAGTGAAATAAGCCAATTATTAAAAAGAAAAGTGTGACATTTTCTCTCATTTGTGACACCCAGGGAAAGGACATAAAGGCTAAAGAGAGACTATTAGAGGTTTAGAAGGGAAAGGAAAGGGGAAAGAAAAGAGGTTATAAGATAACAGAAGGAGCCATGAATATCTTAAGCATATATGGAATGTGACAACGAAACCTATTTCTTTTTACAATTAGTATATGTTAATACAAATCACATATATTTTAATAAGTAATAAAATAAAATGCACATTGTGCTTCATTGGGTCTGGAGTAGAAAGATTCTGCATCTAACAGAACATGTTTTTTTGTTGTTGTTTTTTCTGATACAGCACTCTTTCCACCAAGGCTTAGCTCCTGGGTTCCCATAATTTTATAGTCTCTATGTGAGGGCTTGAGATTTCAGAGGAAAGATACAATATAAATTTAAAGTAATTGATTTTTTAATCCATGTTATCATTACACTGAAGTACTTTCTTTTAAGCACTACGCACTACAAGTAATCCTGTCTTCCTTCCTACAACCTATCAGAAACACATATTAAACCAAGAAGAAAAAAATCAAACTATAAACAACAAAAACAAGTATAATTTGAGGGTGGGGGCCTGGAAAAACAGCTCAATGCAAGCACATGCACTCATGCAAAATAAACATACACACTTATATATGCATAATTTTTTTAGAAATGAATGATTTTGGCAAAATTAGGTAACTAATAATAATGACTTAAGCTATTAATATAGATCTAATGTAAGTATAGTAAAAAAGTAACAAAATATATTTTACCTACTATTTTGCAGGTATTAGAAACACAAACAGCAATCACTATAATGAAGGAGCAGTGACCCACCTTTTCATTACTCTTCTTTAAATATTAAAGAAAGGTCACTCTCCCAAAGGTTCCATAATTTCCTATAGATCTTTAAATGACTCTAATGTACAGTGTAGACATTGTGGAGAGCCAATGTGAAGACTAAACCTCTTTACACAGAAAGAATCTGAGGCCAAGAAAAATTGCATTATTCCTTAGTAATCAGAGGTTGGACCTCCCAACTCATAACTCAATGCATGGGTGTCATGTACCTCTGCCTGACTACAAGATTTTACAAAAGGGGATTTTATAATATCTAGACCTAATAAATTAATGAAGAATAGGTAAGGGAGTATAAACAAAGCAAGGGTCACAATTAAGTGATGATAGTTAGAGCCAGCTAATGGGTATATGGGGGTCCTGGCACTGTTCCCTCTACTTTTCTATATATTAAAAATTATCTTTAATACTACTGCTTTTTAAGATTATTGTATTTGATGTGTATGAGTGTTTAGCCTGAATGCATATATGTGCACCATAGATCTCAGAAGAAGACATTGGATCCCCTGGAACTGGAGTTATAGATATTTATGAGCTACTGTGTGGTGCTGGGAACTGAATTCGGGTCCTCTCTAAGAGCAACAAGTGCTCTTAACTGCTGAGCCATCTCTGCAGTCCCCAACACTGCTTCTAATATAAAAAAAGCTAAAGGAGAATTCTGTACTTCTGCCTAACTCTATATCGGTGCATCAACCGTAATTAGCTTTCATGGGTTTGAAAAAGCTTCCCGGCTTAACTCTAACTGGAAACATGACAACAATCTGTCAGCCTCTGTCACTCTCTGTAACTGCAATCAGTGTCAATTTCTGGGGTGTAATATTCCCTAAAATAACAAATGAATAACAAACAACACAACAAAATGTTATCTCAATTCATTTCTAAACATGTTACTAACAAATTGAAAGGTTATCACTTCAAATCAGTCATAAGTTTTGGAAAGTCAAGTACATAAAACAGACTTGACTTTGGTGAGATGAAAAGTATTCAAGACAGAAGCAGCAATAATATATATGAAAATATTATCACATTGTTGTTGGGTGCTTTGTCCTTTAAATGTCACTTAGGTCAATACAAATAACTTGCAATTTTTCTCTCTTGTTGCCCTGTTTTTCAAAGTGAAGGATTGATATGTCCAAATATTATTGTTGAATTGTCTATTTCTAAATCTAATTGTGTCAGTATTTGTTTAATGTGCAGGTGTTTTTTTTTTGGCTTATAATTGTATTGCACGCAGATGAACCCATTCTGTTTGCTTGCTTGTTTGTCCTATTTTCATTTGTTTGTTTTTATTTTATCTTATTTTATTATTTTAGGTGCCTGTTTGTTTTCTAAGAAAGAGAAAGAAAGGCTATCGAGTTGGGTGGTGGGGATGTGGAGATGTGGAGAGGACCTGGGAGGAGTTGGCAGAGAGGAAATCATAATTAAAATATACTGTATGAAAAAAAAACTATTTCCAATTAAAATAATTGAGGAAAAAAGAAAGTATCCTAAAAATATATTCAATATACCTGACATACTGTTTGGCTACATGAACTTTTTCCCTGTGAGCCTTTCAAACCTTCATTTCTGAATGGCTTTGACTATTACTAATCTTGGCAATTTTCCATGAATCTTAATCACAGATCCTTAAAAGACACCCAAAGGAATCACCTTGTTTCAAACCTCTACAGGGTCCTCTGTATTCCAAACATGTACTTTCTTACCTCCACTCAGAGGTAGCATTCCAATATGTCTAAGGTAGCCAGGATAAGTCACCTCAACCAGCATCATAGGCTCGTTCTCCACCTATAGATTCAGAGGAATGAAGAGTCCAAAGTGTTTGGCCAGCACCCTTAACTTTAGTAACATGATCGCTGTTGTTCTTCTGATGAAAGAGTTCCAACTAAGAGTTTCACAACTAAGACTTTTGAACAGCATAAAGCCACAAGAATAAGAAGCACAATTTTGGCTACTAGATCAGTGGAGATAATTGTGGGTGCTGCTGCTCTCGCTTCTACCCCCTTGATTCCTGGACGAGTCCGTCTTGGATATGGGAGCACTATGGATGCTGTCATAAAGTATACAAAGCCTTCTAGAAGAATGCTCCTGGATATGCAAGGCATTGCTACCTACATGGCAGTGTAACTGAGACTTTAAAAGGTCATCCAGTTTGATCAAGGCAGCTGGTTCAGGATATGTAGCAGAAACTTCTCCTGTTGTGGACCCCACCAAAAATGAGCAGACTTTTAGGTCACTTCACTGCTGGTTAGGATAACTCACTCAAAGTGATAAATGCATTGTCTTCAAAATTCAGAGCCCTTCTTTTAGTTGCAGGAGCACTAACATGCAATCAGTTATTCTTCACCTTAGAAGGATATCTCTATCCCATACCACCAGACCTCTAGAATTTTCATTGATATATAAGGACACTGAATTCTTGTCAGATTTATTTTTCATCCTCCTGCACAAAAACGATATTGCTTTTTTATTAGGTTTGCTCAGAAAGCATACCAAATTGTAGTTTTCATTGTGGCATTTTCAGTTATGCAGTGTTCTTATTCATCTCGTTCCCCTCTCCTGTCCAGCTGACCTCTTCCTGTTGGTGCCTTTGCTCCCTCGCAATAGCCTCGCTGCCTCTGCTTTCATGTCATATGTATTCCATTACCTTTTCTTTCTTCCTTTCCATCATCTTCCCCCTCCCTTAAAGGTTTTTCTCCCCTCTCCCGATGTTCTCCTTTGTAGTTGCATAGCCCATACCTCACTACATACATATATACACACACATAATACATACAAATTACAGTCTAAGATCTGCATATGAGAGAAGACATGCAATATTTGTCTTGGAGCCTGGCTTATTTTGCTTAACAAAATGACTTCTAATTACATCTATTTTCCTACAACTGTAATAATTCCATTTTTATTTATGGTTGCATAAAGTTCCATTGTGTATACATACTGCAGTTTTTTCATGCATTCATCTGTGAGTAAATATCTAGGCTGGCTCCATTCCCTAACTATTGTGACTAGAGAAACTGTAAACATGTATATGTAAGTTTCAATGCGGTAGAACTTGAGTCCTTTGGGCACAGATTCAAGAATGACATACCTGGGTCTTCAGTAACTGTATTTTTATTCTTTGGAGAAACATCCATACTGATTTCCAGAAGGACTGCACCAGTTTATATTGCCCACTAGCAGTGAGTAAGGGACCCCCTTAACCCATATCTTCAGCAACACTTCTCACTTGCTTCCTTAACGTTAGCTATTCTGACTGGGGTGAATTTCAAACTAATTTTAATTATAAAAAGTGTTCAATATTATGAAAACACCATTGCTTTTAGCTTACTGCTTTTTCAGGTATAGGCAGTTCTGCTGGCTTCTATTTAGCCTTTGTTTTAGCCATCATGGCTCTCATACATAGGTCAATGAACGAATGACCTATCATAGATTCTGACAAGGGTTAAGTGCATCAATTCCGATTTTGTATTCTGAAACTGACACATTTCCACAAAATGGGTTCAAGGCGTCATTTTATCAACTGTGAGATTAGCCATGAGCTAAAATTCCATTTATCATCTGAGCTTCACTAACCTCTGGTCAACTATTAGTTCACAATGATATTTTTAGTCTCCTGGAACTAGTGTCAGTCCAGAACCCATGTTCAATAGACCCTTAAGGTTATATTATTAAAATTTCACAGTATAAAGTTACCCTAGTAAAATCCTGTAGGTTCCCTTGGGAGAAAGATTAGTGGTGTAACTTTTGGGTGATATACTTATTGAGTCCATATTCATAAATTCTGATCAAGTGTATGCTCCTCCCAACATTGTCTTGTATTCTTAGTATCCATTCCTATATTTTCCCTCTCAGCAGAAGCTTGTAAAAATGAGACAACTTGAGTGATTATTTTGGAATTTTGCCTACCTCTTCATAGATCATGTTTTGAACCTTATATTTATAGGTCTGTAGGGACTTAATAGTTATATGTTTGCAAGCAAATAGGGGTTGTAGAAGGTGGTGAAGATCACTATTTTATTCTTAGTAACTGCCTCATAATTTCTTCTGGTAACTGTAGCTTGATTTTTCCGCCTCGCCCACAGTCAGGACAAACCTCTGTCACCCGCCAGTCCCAACCAAGTAAACACAGACACTTATATTGCTTTCAAACTGCATGGCCGTGGCAGGCTTCCTGCTAACTGTCCTTATCTTGCTAACTGTGCTTTTATCTTAAACTGATCCATTTCCATACATCTGTACCTTGCCATGTGGCTGGTGGCTTACTAGCATCTTCACATGCTGCTGGTCATGGCGGCGGCTGCAGTGTCTCTGGTCATGGCGGCTGCTGCAGCCTCTCTGGTCATGGCGGTGGCTGCAGCCTCTCTGGTCATGGCAGCGGCTGCAGCCTCTCTGGTCATGGCAGTGGCTGCAGCCTCTCTGGTCATGGCGGCGGCTGCAGCGTCTCCTTCTGCCCTTCTGTCCTTTTATTTCTCCTCTCTGTTAGTCCCACCTATCTTTTCCTGCCTAGCCACGGCCGATCAGGTTTTATTTATTAACCAATCAGAGCAACTTGACATACAGACCATCCCCCAGCACAGCCAAGTGCAGACCATCTCAAACACCTGCACTCAGGC